CGGGAATTCGATCTGTTTACTTACGATATTTAATTAACATAAATATTTTTTCAGTTGGATGAAGATGTAACGTAACTACTTCGCCCTTGCTTTGGGGCACCGTAATTTATCAGTACTGAAGATCCAACTAGAACGTGATAAGTTAACTCATTCAACGTTACTTGGATGTGCTTCTGGTCGAAAATCTGAGTCATTAGTTATTAAGCTCTATAAAATCTTATCCTCACCATATGCATCAAGCAGACATAACTGTTTAGGTAAACAAGCATATTCCATTACACAGCAAAACTTATTAAAGGTTATTTATATTATCGCGGCAGTTATTTGCATTATGACCATTTATAAGTGTCAGAAATCACAAAATCTGGAGTACTCCGGTGTCTTAGCTCTGTTAACTTCAGATGACGATAAGCAACTAAGGCAACAACAAGCAACAACAACATTTGACATGTGAGATAATACGTCCGTCCACATAACGTCAGCCCTGCAGCTATGATCTAAAGTGTGAAAAATCGATTTACCTTTGTCGGACGCAACGACGCCCACCAACAGAGCAACGACTACAGCTTGCCACCATCGAGCCATGGAATATGAACGAAAAATTCACGAAACTAAGCTTTATTCTTTCCTAGGCGTGGCTTGTCGCTGAAGCAGCCGAACATAAGGCAACGTGAACATAAGTCTGGCTACGAGAAAATACTCAGAGCCTTATAGCAGGTTCGAAGGTAGTGTCACAGTTAGCTGAAACAAGTGTGAATGGTTAGCAGGCTGACAACTGACTTTCATACGTGTCCTTAGTATTGTGCCGGAACGCGTGGGCTGACCTGAAAATGCAAAGGCACTCCAATAGGGCATTGTAACGCTTTTCCGTAGCAGATGTTGCACATGACAAAACTTCGCTAAGGCAATGTAGAGGTGGCATTCAACCTGCTGTATGCGGCGACAATGGAAGTCCACGGTTATCAGGGAAGAAAAGACTCTTGAATATTATTTGTGACATTTCAAGATTGGCTGAAAGCTGATGCTGCATAAGCCGTCCCTGTCACCGACACTGCACACCGAATAAAGCATTGGATCGTGATCGTGATGCGGTAGTGCATAATCATGAGCCACTATAGTAGATGCGTACATACGGTAAATGTGAATGCCTGTCCTTTGAATGCTGAAACGGCCGGCTAACGGAAGGGGGTGGCAGTTGGAGAATAATAGTTTGGCTTTGCACTTTGGCAGTGCAACGTTCCGATGCAATGGGGTGTAAAGTATTCTTGTAACAACTAAGTTTCTTTAGCAAAGAATTCCACTCAATGCGCCTTAGTGCATTCAACCAGCCCAGAGCGGCTCAGAATATAGTTCAGCTGCGGTCGTGCCAGAGCGTTCGGCGCACACAGCCATGCTTCTTAATGCTTTCGTTTTGCGGCTACACCTCTTCCCCCATCAGAAGTGCTCAACAGGTAAAAACCGTGAATAACAAAAGTTTACGAGCGTCATAAACGCAGCATTGCCATAAGTCCTAACGAATTTTAGGGGAATTGTGCTCAAGTGTCAGATGCTCTTAGAGGACGACTGGGGGGAGTCGTGATCTTTATTAATTTCTGAAATCTTTTCATATACGTACTCTGAATAGAAGGCGACAACGGCACTGAAGATTGACAATGCAAAAGACATACATCAGGAAATGAATTTTTGCAAAACACCTCCTAAACCAGGTTTCACGTTTGAGTGCATCGCCCGTTGTTCATAGTTGCTCAGATAGCAATCTGGGCACGGCATCTGAGCATTACGGTATCAGATACAACTCCCGTCATCTTGATCGCTAGGTCACTTAATGATCACCAGGAATGATACCCAACAGATGGCATTCATTTATGCTATCACATGAAACAGCACACTGTCAGGAGTATTGGGCCATCACGTCACGGAACTCACCACGACTGACAACCGTGGGAATATGTTAAACTTTCGCGACAAACAGTCTCCAGTTGAACCTATTCCCTCATGAGCGAATTCACCAAACTGCCTGGACCACGTCCTTGTCAGCCGAAAATGACGCAACTTATTACTCGAGACTCAGGCCATGTGCCGGTTTCCATCGCCATATGGTCGCAACAGAACTTCCTCTAAACCTCCACTTCGCCTGACTAAAACTCACCAGCTTTTCAATGTAGACAGGGTTCGGTACAGCAAAAGGAAGTAAAGAACTGCCCTTGAGCTCGCTTAGTGCCCACTCAACAAGTGACAACATCCATCAAGTTTATGACGACTTGTGAGGTGACGTTATGGCAGCTTAGCGAAACATAGTGGGGATCAGGAGGAGCGCAAACACATTGCCTTCGGTCATGAAGAAAACGCTGACAGAAGATCCGGGCTAAGAAAAAGTATTTGCAACAGCGTACTACACTTTCGAGACAAACACTCGTCTTCTCGTTAGTGCAGTGAATCAAGGCCACAGTCGGGACAAGAAACCCTGGCTGCAAGGCGAAGCGAGTCAGTTCAATAAGGCAACTTGAGTGCTTGGCGAACAGTCTTCAGAGAAGTACGAGAGTTCGGTCCTTAACTTGAACCATTCCTATACAGAGACAAGAATGATGCTCAAGTGGCAGATCATAAAGAACGCTTCAAATAATGAGTTGACCCTCTTCAGTACCTGTCCTTTTGCATTATCAAATTCCTCCCTTCCAGTCGTTAATTTTCTTCCTATGCCAGAGGTTAGTGAAGATAAGTTATTCGCTTCGAGTCAGCAATACGTTTGCTGACGAACAGTTTTCGCAATCACTTCGATACGAGACAATTATAAAGAAATGCGACGATCTTTCTGATCCGACTGGCCAACTCCTAAATTAACATAAAGCAGCCATCTGCTCCTGAAAGATCATTGAGAAAGAACGTCATAAAACAAACCGTATCTTTGTACAACGGATATATGCTTAGATTTGAAAAGTAACTGTGTCGATTAGCGATATAAAACCTTTACTTCGTCACAGCAACAGAAATGGTATGAATCAATAATTCTACAGTACGTTGGAAAACAGATTTTCGTAGCACAATTTTATGCGGGTAACTAACAGGGTAGCCCGTGTCTTGCAACAAACCACAGCTCGCCATGCCAATTACTTCAAGTGCCACACGATTTCTTTTCGTGACAAGTCGTTTAAGGTAAACGACACAGCTAAACGTAGGAAATGCTTGGACTCGTTGTATTCGGGTTTCACTGTAGGGTCGTCGAAGGTCGGCGTCGATTTGACTCCCATGATCAAAACCTCGTTCACAAGAGTGCGGTGTAAGTACTGATTGCTTTTCTCGACAGAGCACGTTAAGGCAAACGAAGTGGACTGCTCATTTTTGGACTTGACCTCGAATTGGACCAACGTGTAATTGTTGTTGTAGACCGCGGTCGACTCGCCATCGTCCAAGAACAGAAAACCGCTGGCCAACTGGCGGTCGTCCAAAGCCACTAACAGCTGCATAGGGTTTCGACGGCTCTCGGTGGTCGTCAAGCTGGGCGTCTGCATCGGAATGATGCCGCCGCCTCTGACGTCGACTATGATGCAATCCTCATCGCACGCTCTCGTGATATTCTGCTTCCTCTCTGCGCGAGCTTCATGAGTAAAGTAGTCGTACCATCGGGCGTCTGGATAGTAGACCTGTCTACTCGACACCTCTTCCAGCACAGGACTGATCATCAACCACCTCCCCCACAAGAACTGGTCCTCGATCGGCCACGTGTCACGATCGCCCGGGAACTCGAAGAACAACGCTCGAACAGCGGCCGAACCGTTTGTGTGGCTGGCGAACAGCTGGCTATACATGTAAGGCAATAGGCGATAGCGTTCGTGCAAAATTTTGCCAGCCGACCTCGCGAACTGGGGTCCAAAATATGCCGGGTCCTGGTCCGTCCCGCCGTTGATGTTGTGGTTGCGACTGAATGGGTAGAAAGCGCCCAAATGCGTCCACCGCTGGCACAGAGGTTTCGTCGTGTTGAACACGAATCCGCAGATATCCGATCCGACCATGTTTATGCCGAACAGGTTGTACTCGAGCATACCGACAATCGACCACCGCATTTCCGGCCACAGCGCCTGGTTATCGCCAAGCCAGTGAAACGCGTAGTGACCAGTGCTTACGTAATTCGAACGGGTTAGGATGAATGGCCGTTTGTCCTTCATGATTTCTGACAACGCATTATTAGTCGCCTTGCTCATTGAGTGTCCGTATAGACTGTGCAGATTATAGTGTATGTTGATGAATTGCTTGGCATCCATGCACAGCGTCTTGCCGAAAAGACCGGCAACCTGATAGCTGTCAACGGGGGGTGTGTATGGCGGATAATTCCAATTGTTGTGCCGGCACTGGTGAGCGTTAGGATTGTCATAGTTGTTACCATCGTTGAAGTTCGACGGTTCGTTCATGTCGATCCATATTCCATCAAAATCGATCTCCTAAAGTGCATATTCATCTTTCAGCTAGTAACACGCTAACGCTGATAATTACTACTGTGATCATAACAGTGATGATAATGATAATGATTAAGATGACAGTTTGACTGTAATACTGATTTTCTTTTGATACCACGTGACTCGTTTAAATGACCCTCTAAGTAACTGTGAGCAAAGGGAGACTCAGAAGGCTGTGAAATCTGGTCTTGGTTTGTCAGTGTAATATTTCTTTAATTATATTAAACTTTGACCAATTATTCTAGAAAGAAAGGCGATATAGCTAGCCGTCATCACTACCCTCAGCTGACCGCTCAAAGGCCACTTCAGAGACTTTGCTTTGCTTCGCCAAGCATGACTTGAGACAAGTGCCTCGAAGAACTCTGTTAAAAACGGGTTTTCTTCTGCCAAACCCTTAGCCGTGGCACTAGATCGGGAACGTTTGAGAAACTGCCAGATGCTATTGCTTCAAAGATCATCCGAAAGGATAAGCGGTCTTCGAAACAAACTGACAAATCTTCAGTTTATTAATTCTTCCACGAGTGCATCTGAAGACAGACCCAAAAAATATGCAGGTTGACTGGATTAGCGGAACCCTCTTCAGAGTGCATTTGGTATGACTCAAGTCCTGTTTGTTTCGCGTTACTGTTGTTGCACTTAAAAAATATGATTCGCCGGATTCTTCTCATTTCATAGAGGCAGTGAAACATCAACGTTCACATTCTTACTCAGGATTTTGACGATGATGATGATGACTGATAATCAACTTTGGTATGACAATGCTGGTGTCCGTGTCAAGGATCGTGACAGGCGAAAAAATCGATCAAATATTAATCTATCGGTGGTAGCAATGACGGTTTCGATACGATTTTCGAATGCCTCCAGAAAGAAAGGCGAAATAGCTAGTATCTGCTCAACCGACCGGCCGACGACACTGGGGACAGACAAGAACGATTTTTGGTAAGTGTCTCGAAGACCCTGTTCAAGCCTCAAGTTACCTTCTGACAAAGCTCAAACGCTGGCACAGGATCAAGAACGTTGGAAACGCTGTCGGATGAGTCTACCTCCGTGATCTGAAAAGATACGCGGTCATCGAAACTAACTGAACGATATTTATGGCTATGATATCGATAGCAATTATGATACCGAAAACAATAATGATAATAACAAGGATTATATTGGCAATGAATACTACTAGTAAGACTGTGCTGATGGCGGCATGTTTATATGTATGACTATCATTGTGATCACGACTATGACATTTGTGGTGACGATTGTGATGATGACTATGCTCAGGATGGTGTTGGTCACTTATTATGATAACCACGATAAACCAGTACAGGTCAAACGAAACTGGAATGAGCTGTAACCTGCTTATGACAAATAGAACCAGTATGACATTTCCTTCTTCTGGTTTAGACACGTTTTGTACATTTATACTGATAATTATTATACTGATCATGAAAACACCAATGACAACGATAATGATCATTATTAGGATGAAGAGCCTGTGCTCGGATCTGCAAGAACATATCCAGCGAATCATGAAGTCAGCGAATATCCGAGTTGCGTTCAAGTCGAAGGGGAAAAGTAAGACTCTACGAACGAAGGTAAACGACCTGAAATCCTTGAAGATACAACCTACATCACATTAGCCAGAACACAAATGAGCAAGCAAAATGAAAGACTGCAGGGTCAATAAGCATTCAGAAAGTTGAAACACCTTCTGAGCTAGCCGATAATCATGTTAAGATTGGACACCACATCGAATTCGCAGGAACATGACCCAATGAGATGTCATAAACATCGTCGAAAGATTCTTGTGAGATTCATTCCTAGTTCAGACCGGGTTTGTGGGCTAGAAATGTCAAAAACATTGACTGGCGTGCAGAAGATACTTGCCAGGTCAAAGCCACTACGAACCGACGTAGGGGAACAGAGGGCCATTTCTTTAGTACACACAAAAGATGACGAATGTGAGACGCCAGATGGTTAAGACCAAGCATTTTTACCAGAACCAATACTGACACACAATCGGGCTGCTGATCTTTACATAAGAAAGTACAGGAATGAGTGAGTTCCACTGCTACTTGGGTGATGAGCGCCGCAAACTCTAGCAGAAAAGTGGTCCCGTCAAAACAACAATTTATGTACAAAAAATTTTCTCTATCGAGCAACTTTGTTAATGTTATAAACAAGTAAGTAGTGAAATCAAATCATCTTGACTAAGTAGAAAACGGTCAACGGTTATGTTTCACGGAAGACAAAGTCCTTTTGATTCATCCTTCCCCTTAAGCGTAAGAAGGCACAAGCCAAAAGAGCGCGCTGATTTTTTTCTGAGAAGCTCTCGAGGGTGTTAAATATCTAGCTCTACTCGATTTCAGTATACTAAAGCGTACTGTAGCTGAATATTCCATAATAACTGCATTATCGAAAGATATTACGGTGAGGGCAAATGCTTACTGTAGAAATGTTTTGCGCCTACCTTTTTAAACTTTCTAAACTGCTCGGTCCAGAACTGTTGGCTA